ATCAGAGTGACGTCCATTCATGATTCTAAATCCAGTTGATTTACAGAGTGATAACAATTTTCTACCGAAAGAATTTACATATTTGTCCATATTTGTGCGTTCTTTTATATCATATACATCATCGTATTGGTAATCAAAAGCATCAAATAAATCGTTAACTTCGTTACTTAAAGCGTCATTAATTACCGTGTCAGATCTGGTACCAGTTCTAGCATTGAGGTCTCCTGTTATGTACACTTTTCCATTTGATTTATATTTTATAATTGAATCTTGCAACGACTGGAATAAATCTATTTCATCTAAATTGTTTTCATAAAAAACACTATTTTCTGGAGGAAAATAACAGAAAACAATATATGTATCAGAATCTCTGGAGCTATTTTCCAATTTTAACCATATTATACTATCATACATATTTTCAACAACAGATATCTTGTCTTTAAAACAGTTCTTGAAGAAGATAACTATTCCGCCACCTATCCCAGTTTTCCTAGGAAATACATGCTTACAATACCCGTCAAGCTCAATTTCATCGTTGACAGTTATCCAGCATTCGCATAAACATACAATGTCATACTTTTGGATAATGGACAAAAATTCTCTATCACTAAGCTTGTTAACCAGGCCTTTGCCAATGTTCCACGAAAGTACAGAGAGTTCAAACGTACTACTGAAAGTGTCTCTCTCCGCGCGTTCCTATGTACGAGTACCATTGCCTACGGTCGCTTTACCGCCGGCAGCAGTACTGGCATACGTCGGGGCTGCTGGAGCCTCCTGTTGGTCCATACCTAGCACAGTCTCATCCGTGTACAGCTTGCCGTCAACGTAAAGCTTGTCTCTAACAAGTCTAATAGTTGGTTTGTTCGGTGATCTTTTGAGGCGCTTAATAACCGGATATAGTTTTTTTCGACGTTCCTCGATTACCGCATTGTAGGTCCAACACTGTTTCAGACATGTTGTCCCGTACGTCCATGGATCTAGCCTCCATAACTTCAGATATTTTTACATTTGCGGCTTTTATTTGTTTTTGCTGATCATTCATATGCCGAGAAAGTTTGTCAATGTCACTGCACTTTTTGTTGAGTTCGTCACATTTGCTTGTAAGTTTATCTAGGTCACTACACTTTTTGCTGAATTCGTCACATTTGCTTGATACAAACCCTACAGACTTTTCAAACTCAACTATTTTTTTTTCAAATTCATTGACTCGTCTGATGGTGTGCGATAGTGAGACCTCAATATTTTTCATCTGGTGTTCAATAAGATCTAGCTTTTGGACTTTTGTAATTAAAAAATCAAGTTTTCTATGTACTGCACTAAGATCTGTGACACCGGGCATTACGGCTGCTGGCGTGGATGCACAGGGTCCCGCAGACTTGCCGGAACTTTCCTCCTCGATGGTGCTGAAAGCTGTAGATTCAGCAGTATTNTTACCGCCGGCAGCAGTACTGGCATTCGTCGGGGCTGCTGGAGCCTCCTGTTGGTCCATACCTAGCACAGTCTCATCCGTGTACAGCTTGCCGTCAACGTAAAGCTTGTCTCTAACAAGTCTAATAGTTGGTTTGTTCGGTGATCTTTTGAGGCGCTTAATAACCGGATATAGTTTTTTTCGACGTTCCTCGATTACCGCATTGTAGGTCCAACACTGTTTCAGACAGGTTGTCCCGTACGTCCATGGATCTAGCCTCCATAACTTCAGATATTTTTACATTTGCGGCTTTTATTTGTTTTTGCTGATCATTCATATGCCGAGAAAGTTTGTCAATGTCACTGCACTTTTTGTTGAGTTCGTCACATTTGCTTGTAAGTTTATCTAGGTCACTACACTTTTTGCTGAATTCGTCACATTTGCTTGATACAAACCCTACAGACTTTTCAAACTCAACTATTTTTTTTTCAAATTCATTGACTCGTCTGATGGTGTGCGATAGTGAGACCTCAATATTTTTCATCTGGTGTTCAATAAGATCTAGCTTTTGGACTTTTGTAATTAAAAAATCAAGTTTTCTATGTACTGCACTAAGATCTGTGACACCGGGCATTACGGCTGCTGGCGTGGATGCACAGGGTCCCGCAGACTTGCCGGAACTTTCCTCCTCGATGGTGCTGAAAGCTGTAGATTCAGCAGTATTGTTGACACTACTGGTACTACTGTCATAATGAGTGGATTTACTCTTACGCTTCTTGGACCTGTTCCCCATAACGAATGTTGTCTATTATCACTGTGTGTACAGTCCGCCAATGATTATTCGATAGAGCGTGACGAATCATCGACCGTGAGTTCGATTAGTACATATCTCACAGGTAAATATGTGAGGTGCGTATATATATATATAATATACGGTAAGAGACAAAATCAAATATCAAAACATGATGTCAAATACAGCACAATCCCATCACAATTTTCACCTTTTGTAACCCCTTCCTTTCCTGCTCGAATCCGTCTTAATATTCCATTTCTGATAGTTTGTCCATAGAAGGATAACACACGATATTTGTACCGTGTGTCGATAACGACGCCATCTTGTATATACCATCGAAGCGCGCACTGTGGTCCTTTCGCGAAGATGAACCCCTCCACCTCTGGCCAGTAGCCGTATGTTGTCCTCGCGAGGGTCGCGGTTGGAATTCGGCTATGCGTTGTTGTCGCGCTGGCGTGTAGTGCCATTCTGGTACTATTGGCGACCCAATACCATGGAAGCTGGCTATGGGCTGCTGCGCGCGGGACTCGGGCGGCTGAAGTCGTTCACTTCCATCGGGGGTAGACGGGTTACGTCCTCTTTTGCTGCCGCGTCCGCTAGCTGGCGTACTCGTGTCAACAGGAGGCTGATGTTGCTGTACTTTTTGTTGAGTGACGTCACTTTAGGACCTCTGAGTATCCGACCTCAGTACATTATCCGTGTCACTGCCTGACAAGTAAATTTCCCCGTCAATGTGCAGACGATCTTTCACAAGTTTGGCATGGTGACCAGCGCGCTTGTAGTGCCTCGTGACCGGATATAACTTTTTCCGTCGTTCCTCGACTGCATCCGGGAATTGTTCGTTTATGCCAAATCGGGTAACTCGTAGCATATAACCACGATCTTTGACTTCTTGTTTGTCCCCGTAAGACAAAAAGCGGACAACAACTGGGCGGACTTTACCATGAACGTATTTCTGGAATCGGTGCATGTTCGCGAATTCCATATGTCGCGTGATTCCAAGTTGACGCTGAAAAAAGTCACGCACATGGTCTCCGATTGCTTCGGACCTTTGTTCCATTAAACCCGTGAGAATAAGGTTGTATTTCATGTTTCTACACTTTTGGTCTTCCACCTCTAGTTTGATTTCTTCACAGTCCTTTCTTAAATTCATCATTTCGTTTTGGATAATGCATTGATTTGTTGAAATGTCTCTGGTTTCCATTATTACACCTTGGAGTTCTCCCTGTGTTTTTGATGATGTTGTCTCGTTTTTTTCAGTCTTTCTTTTCATCTCTGTTCATAGAATTCCCCGATAGCTTCCGTACTTTTTTCTATGTCAATGTTTTTCTGTACTATTTCCTTTACTTGATGTTCGATAGTGATAACCTTCGCATTTAGGGAAGTTAATGCAGCATCTATACGATCAATCTTGTGTACTTGTGTTTCTATTCGCCCCAATCGATCGTTCATGTTTTTCATCACCTCTATAAGTTGCCGCATAGAACTGGCTATATCTGTTTCGGTGTCCCCGTGTAGGACCCCACGCACACTTTCTAATATACTGGATGTAGTGCTAGTCATCATTGTCGTCGCGAGCAGGCTTACGCGCTCAGGTAACACACAGGTAACACAGGTAGGTTCCTTAACCACTAGAGCATGACGAAATAATTCGGACAAGAACAGGCCACAATACTCCACCAAAGTTCACATACTAAATATGATCACGCTACAATACATATAGCGATACGATTGCAATCTATCAATCATTCAAAACCACGATAAAATTCAAAATTAACAAAATGCCTCTGTAACTTGATACTTTCGAAATTCTATTGCAAGGTTTCAAAGCCTAAACAAGCACTTGCACGTTCAAAATCATCGGTTATCCATGGAGCTCTCAATACCGTGTATGCCTCTGTTCGGCACCATCTTGTTACCTTGTGAACTAAACACAATTTAGTCTGTGGAATTAATTAGCTCGTAATTATGCCATTGACGATTTTATAAAATCTTTTTGCACCACAATTGTTATACAATTAATGCTCTTGTGTTGTTTCCTAATAGTACCTCATGTTCGCGATACTACACCTCAAATAATAAACATCTCGTTAATTGATTGGCTGGACGGAAAATGATACAAAAACACTACCAAGTAGCGAGAGCGACATTGCCACAATACCTTATAAATTGTTTCCTGTACGAAGAATGAGCGCATTATTAAATGTTGTTTATTATGCATGTTGCTCATGTATCGTTTGTATCGATCTGAGTGTTCAATGAAGTTCTGTTCTGTTCCATTCTATATTTAATTGCCACTGATACGCACCGTTTTGCACATTTTCCTCTCCTCCCTCCCTAATCCTCCCCTCTTCCATATACGTGTATGTATAATATTAATAGAATCCATCCCTGATGTGAGGTATGGATAAGGTAATTCGAACCCAAGGGATAAAATATTGAGCAGGAGACCTGAGTCTCTGCCGAGAAATGCAGATATCTCGGTCTAGTATGCAAGAATAGTCAGTGCAAACCAATTAGTCGCTTCATATTAAAGGAGACGGATTAACATGAGTACTTTGTACTTGTTTTCGAATCCTATATATGTATATCATGGTTGTATTCATGGAATATTATACCGGCAATGAAATGAAGTTAAATATAACTATTGGAAAACCCGGCATGATATTTATAGATTATGTAATCGATACAATTTACAATTTGATATGTTGTAATTTGAGTCACGGGACCTTGTCCGTTCTAATCAAGTACGGTTCTTTGTATGTTTGTGTATATCATGTTCTGCATATGGCTGTATAGGGATAACCCAGAAGCTTGACTACCTAGCTGACTTGGGGATAGGAGCTATCTGGATCAGCCCCTTCTACACGTCACCTATGAGGGACTTTGGCTACGACATCTCAAACTACACCCAGGTCGACCCCACGTTTGGTACAATGGACGACTTCGACAACCTACTAAAGGAGGCAAGAAAGAGAGGTATATTAGGTGAAATATCTCGGGCCAAACAATGCAAATAGAACATAGTTTGTACTCTAACGCTGATATTAAGGACTACCTAAGGTGTAGTTTGTACTCTAACGCTGAGATTAAGGACTACCTAAGATGTAGTTTGTACTCTAACGCTGAGATTAAGGACTACCTAACGTGTAGTTTGTACTCTAACGCTAATATTAAGGACTAGCTCAGGTGTAGTTTGTACTCTAACGCTGAGATTAAGGACTACCTAAGGTGTAGTTGGTACTCTAACGCTGAGATTAAGGACTACCTAAGGTGTAGTTGGTACTCTAACGCTGAGATTAAGGACTACCTAAGGTGTAGTTGGTACTCTAACGCTGAGATTAAGGACTACCTAAGGTGTAGTTGGTACTCTAACGCTGAGATTAAGGACTACCTAAGGTGTAGTTGGTACTCTAACGCTGAGATTAAGGACTACCTAAGGTGTAGTTGGTACTCTAACGCTGAGATTAAGGACTACCTAAGGTGTAGTTGGTACTCTAACGCTGAGATTAAGGACTACCTAAGGTGTAGTTGGTACTCTAACGCTGAGATTAAGGACTACCTAAGGTGTAGTTGGTACTCTAACGCTGAGATTAAGGACTACCTAAGGTGTAGTTGGTACTCTAACGCTGAGATTAAGGACTACCTAAGGTGTAGTTGGTACTCTAACGCTGAGATTAAGGACTACCTAAGGTGTAGTTGGTACTCTAACGCTGAGATTAAGGACTACCTAAGGTGTAGTTGGTACTCTAACGCTGAGATTAAGGACTACCTAAGGTGTAGTTGGTACTCTAACGCTGAGATTAAGGACTACCTAAGGTGTAGTTGGTACTCTAACGCTGAGATTAAGGACTACCTAAGGTGTAGTTGGTACTCTAACGCTGAGATTAAGGACTACCTAAGGTGTAGTTGGTACTCTAACGCTGAGATTAAGGACTACCTAAGGTGTAGTTGGTACTCTAACGCTGAGATTAAGGACTACCTAAGGTGTAGTTGGTACTCTAACGCTGAGATTAAGGACTACCTAAGGTGTAGTTGGTACTCTAACGCTGAGATTAAGGACTACCTAAGGTGTAGTTGGTACTCTAACGCTGAGATTAAGGACTACCTAAGGTGTAGTTGGTACTCTAACGCTGAGATTAAGGACTACCTAAGGTGTAGTTGGTACTCTAACGCTGAGATTAAGGACTACCTAAGGTGTAGTTGGTACTCTAACGCTGAGATTAAGGACTACCTAAGGTGTAGTTGGTACTCTAACGCTGAGATTAAGGACTACCTAAGGTGTAGTTGGTACTCTAACGCTGAGATTAAGGACTACCTAAGGTGTAGTTGGTACTCTAACGCTGAGATTAAGGACTACCTAAGGTGTAGTTGGTACTCTAACGCTGAGATTAAGGACTACCTAAGGTGTAGTTGGTACTCTAACGCTGAGATTAAGGACTACCTAAGGTGTAGTTGGTACTCTAACGCTGAGATTAAGGACTACCTAAGGTGTAGTTGGTACTCTAACGCTGAGATTAAGGACTACCTAAGGTGTAGTTGGTACTCTAACGCTGAGATTAAGGACTACCTAAGGTGTAGTTGGTACTCTAACGCTGAGATTAAGGACTACCTAAGGTGTAGTTGGTACTCTAACGCTGAGATTAAGGACTACCTAAGGTGTAGTTGGTACTCTAACGCTGAGATTAAGGACTACCTAAGGTGTAGTTGGTACTCTAACGCTGAGATTAAGGACTACCTAAGGTGTAGTTGGTACTCTAACGCTGAGATTAAGGACTACCTAAGGTGTAGTTGGTACTCTAACGCTGAGATTAAGGACTACCTAAGGTGTAGTTGGTACTCTAACGCTGAGATTAAGGACTACCTAAGGTGTAGTTGGTACTCTAACGCTGAGATTAAGGACTACCTAAGGTGTAGTTGGTACTCTAACGCTGAGATTAAGGACTACCTAAGGTGTAGTTGGTACTCTAACGCTGAGATTAAGGACTACCTAAGGTGTAGTTGGTACTCTAACGCTGAGATTAAGGACTACCTAAGGTGTAGTTGGTACTCTAACGCTGAGATTAAGGACTACCTAAGGTGTAGTTGGTACTCTAACGCTGAGATTAAGGACTACCTAAGGTGTAGTTGGTACTCTAACGCTGAGATTAAGGACTACCTAAGGTGTAGTTGGTACTCTAACGCTGAGATTAAGGACTACCTAAGGTGTAGTTGGTACTCTAACGCTGAGATTAAGGACTACCTAAGGTGTAGTTGGTACTCTAACGCTGAGATTAAGGACTACCTAAGGTGTAGTTGGTACTCTAACGCTGAGATTAAGGACTACCTAAGGTGTAGTTGGTACTCTAACGCTGAGATTAAGGACTACCTAAGGTGTAGTTGGTACTCTAACGCTGAGATTAAGGACTACCTAAGGTGTAGTTGGTACTCTAACGCTGAGATTAAGGACTACCTAAGGTGTAGTTGGTACTCTAACGCTGAGATTAAGGACTACCTAAGGTGTAGTTGGTACTCTAACGCTGAGATTAAGGACTACCTAAGGTGTAGTTGGTACTCTAACGCTGAGATTAAGGACTACCTAAGGTGTAGTTGGTACTCTAACGCTGAGATTAAGGACTACCTAAGGTGTAGTTGGTACTCTAACGCTGAGATTAAGGACTACCTAAGGTGTAGTTGGTACTCTAACGCTGAGATTAAGGACTACCTAAGGTGTAGTTGGTACTCTAACGCTGAGATTAAGGACTACCTAAGGTGTAGTTGGTACTCTAACGCTGAGATTAAGGACTACCTAAGGTGTAGTTGGTACTCTAACGCTGAGATTAAGGACTACCTAAGGTGTAGTTGGTACTCTAACGCTGAGATTAAGGACTACCTAAGGTGTAGTTGGTACTCTAACGCTGAGATTAAGGACTACCTAAGGTGTAGTTGGTACTCTAACGCTGAGATTAAGGACTACCTAAGGTGTAGTTGGTACTCTAACGCTGAGATTAAGGACTACCTAAGGTGTAGTTGGTACTCTAACGCTGAGATTAAGGACTACCTAAGGTGTAGTTGGTACTCTAACGCTGAGATTAAGGACTACCTAAGGTGTAGTTGGTACTCTAACGCTGAGATTAAGGACTACCTAAGGTGTAGTTGGTACTCTAACGCTGAGATTAAGGACTACCTAAGGTGTAGTTGGTACTCTAACGCTGAGATTAAGGACTACCTAAGGTGTAGTTGGTACTCTAACGCTGAGATTAAGGACTACCTAAGGTGTAGTTGGTACTCTAACGCTGAGATTAAGGACTACCTAAGGTGTAGTTGGTACTCTAACGCTGAGATTAAGGACTACCTAAGGTGTAGTTGGTACTCTAACGCTGAGATTAAGGACTACCTAAGGTGTAGTTGGTACTCTAACGCTGAGATTAAGGACTACCTAAGGTGTAGTTGGTACTCTAACGCTGAGATTAAGGACTACCTAAGGTGTAGTTGGTACTCTAACGCTGAGATTAAGGACTACCTAAGGTGTAGTTGGTACTCTAACGCTGAGATTAAGGACTACCTAAGGTGTAGTTGGTACTCTAACGCTGAGATTAAGGACTACCTAAGGTGTAGTTGGTACTCTAACGCTGAGATTAAGGACTACCTAAGGTGTAGTTGGTACTCTAACGCTGAGATTAAGGACTACCTAAGGTGTAGTTGGTACTCTAACGCTGAGATTAAGGACTACCTAAGGTGTAGTTGGTACTCTAACGCTGAGATTAAGGACTACCTAAGGTGTAGTTGGTACTCTAACGCTGAGATTAAGGACTACCTAAGGTGTAGTTGGTACTCTAACGCTGAGATTAAGGACTACCTAAGGTGTAGTTGGTACTCTAACGCTGAGATTAAGGACTACCTAAGGTGTAGTTGGTACTCTAACGCTGAGATTAAGGACTACCTAAGGTGTAGTTTGTACTCTAACGCTGAGATTAAGGACTACCTAAGGTGTAGTTTGTACTCTAACGCTGAGATTAAGGACTACCTAAGGTGTAGTCGGCATGCTGGTCTGCACTTCATTCAACATGAAAATCTCATTTGCAAGACTGATTCCGCCATAACCATCATGTTTGGGTTTCCTCTTGCAATATCTTACACAATTGATAAAGTTATTTTACTATTTTTCATTTAATTCCTTGATCGGTATGCTATATACATAACATATGGATATATGTAAAAATAAATACATATTTTACAGTCGAAAATCTCAGAAAGGCAAAGCTTAACCTTAGCAATGCTCGTCGCTTATTCAGATCTGATATTTTGCTGACCTTCGTAGAACCGAAACATGCGTTAACGTAGTCCATGTCGTCCAACTTTGACCTGTGGGAGGCATGCTCAATACTGTCTTGTTCTAGAATGACCAATTCGAATTCTTCCTTTGGGTGTTGATAATATGTACATTCCGAGCAATATAATAATAACTGTTGGTTGTACGGTTACATTTCTCACAGGTCTGTGATGAGGGGGGACGTACAAGCTGTCAGATAATGTCATACGTTATTCTCGTCTCACTAAACGACAATAGGATGGCTCACATCATTTGCAATTTGTACCGGTTTTCCACTTTCATAAATCGGTCAAAAGCGTGATTACTTTCTAACTTGGTTTGCAAAAGAATGTTTCCTTTCTGGTTACTTCGTAATTTATTATGCACTTCCATTGTCTTAGTTTGGAGACTAGTAACCTCCTGTTTAATTTACTTCTGGATGCTGAAGGAGTATTTCTATTGTATAAGGTACGAAACCTCGTTGGTTTAGAGTTCCAAGGTCACCTCCATCGACCACATATTGATGAAGCCTAAGCGTAAAACAAAACTTACATCGAAACTACAGGGGAGGTCAATAATTTTGTTGAACAAAAAACTTATTTCCGCTTTTCATATTCACTGGTGATTCTCTGCAATCCAAAGAAGCGTTCGACCATATAGGAGCGTGTAATCTGTGCCGCATAATGTTGGATTCGTTTAAGTCCTCGCCACTCAACTGGCACCTAGATTTGCATACAAACAGTATGGAGGGAAGAACAATTTTCTTGTATTAAATTACTTTCGGATTGATAGCATACAAATCCGTTCCAAATCGAAATATGGCGTTGCAGTGTCTTTCGTCCTTTTTCACTCGCTTTTGCGATTTTCGTCGCATTTTAACCATCACTATTATATGGAACTCCCAAGTGCGTCTGTGATGGCATGTATAGTCAATATGACTCCTCTGAACTGAGTCAATTCTTTTTACAGCGATATCAGGGCGGATATGGACAGTAGTATTAAAACGGCTACTGTCCTAATCAAAACGTCAGCAACCGGATTCCTGTAGAAAATATCGAAGTTGAAAAGTTGGTATCATAAGAAATATTTTAAGGAATTCTCTATATTAATAGATCTGGGGCCGTACTCATGAAGACGTTCTCGTGCTCAAACTCGGATTCTTTGCTAAAGCTATCTTTCTTGACCTGGTGATGAATTAAGATCAAAACACATTTTGTTAAGATTTTGGAAAAAACAATTGAAGAGACCTCAAACCAAATATTGTTTTAAATGGTTACACTGGACTATACATAGTCGTATCACATGATTTAAGTGCGTCAAAAGAGAGTTGCCTCAATCACAGAATAAACGCTTGAGTATAAGGCAGTTGTTTCATGAATGCGGGCCCCCATATCATAATAACCATTCAAAGACATTCATAGGTACGCCGCTTTGATTATGTGCATTGTTTTGTTTTAGGTCTAAAGATAATCGTTGATTTTGTTCCAAACCACACAAGTAACGAGAGCATGTGGTTTCAGGAGAGTAGAAAAGGGCCTAATAATTCTTACAGTGATTATTACGTCTGGAAAGATGGAGTCATCCTTCCGAACGGTTCTAGAGGACCCCCGAACAACTGGGTAAGGGTTAAACGTCAGGAAGATATGTAATTATGTCGGTGGGCTGTATCGATCTACTATATAATCGCATGAGGCGATTAATGTGGAGTTTGTTACCGATAAATTTGGGGGTAGGAGAGGGCGTGTTTCCGGTTTCCTCTTAATATGGATATTCAAAAAAAAAAAATGATCACCATAGATACCTGGTCATTGAACCGAAAACTTAAACGTATCTGTAGGGTTGGTGTGACATTGAAACCAGCATAGCTCCATCCTCGAAACTCCATGTGTTACGCGCACTTTCGCTCTCTACACTCCTGAAATATGTCATAGCAAAATTGAAGACACGCGGCTAGCTTTTTTATTTGTCTTAGGTAAAGAAATCTAACCGATCGCTAGGCAGATATCTGTCCTTTGAAGATTACAAAGGAGTGACAGCCGACTTAAAAGCCAGTCTTTTGTACCGTTACGCGACCGCGAGATTATTTTGATGTACATCAAAGGATCAAACATCGTTTCATCCACAAGGTGGTGCGCGCTGAGCCTTCATTTTGCTATGACATTTTCCAGGGGTGCAGAGAGCGTTAGGGGGCGTAAACCCTGGAGTATCGAGGATGGTATAGCTCCGATCTTATCGCGCGGTCTTTGAAAAAAATATTTTTCTGACATGATTTTGTATGTTGTTCGGCAAGGAAGTTCTGTGTTGTTGTTGATTGTTGGTTTAGTTTATTTCAAAACTGAACACGAACGCTTGGCCACCATGTTCTCTGCTAAACAATTGAGGGCATTTTGAGTCTCGGCGTAGACATTTGACCACAATGCAATGTGTTGTATGTTCTGTTTATTATGATATCACTTAATGTACTTGGTGTCTCGGTACTGACTTTTGGCCATTATGTACCATATATCTCGGTTCAGTGTTTTTGGAATCCTGAAATGTACGTTTGACCGTTTGACTACCAGACTCCACTGTTCTGTTTTGTATAATTTAAATTAGTTGAGCGTGTTTGGGGGCTCGGCGTGGACGTTTGATCCAGAACGAGGTCAGTATTATTACCATGCATTCCTGAAATCGCAAGCTGACATCAACTTCTACAGCCCGCACGTGCTCCAGGAACTGAAGGTAAGAATTAAATCGCTGCTTATTTACAGTAGAAAAAGAAATAATTTACAATAAGTTGGCGTAAAAGTGTATGATGATTTTACCCGACCACCATGAATTGCTCGAAGTACGTGTTCCAAAAGGGAAATAATTATTTGTATTTGGTACATTTAAAAAAAAATAAACCAGGTGAAATATTATTTATTCACTGGTTTTGACCAAAACTCCAAACCATTTTTTGTGTACTGATGGCGTTTCGTTTTTCAGACCGTCCTAAGGTTCTGGTTGGACAGGGGTGTTTCGGGATTTCGGTTGGATGCTCTGAAGTTTCTGTTTGAGTCGAAAGATGTAACCCTAAACGAGGCGCTCTTACCGGTAAGTATGAATTATCACATATACACACCGATCTCGTTGTGATTTACTCCATCCTCGAAACGACAAGGGTTACGCCCACTTACGCTCTCTGTGCGTTACCCCTGGATATCGAGAATGGATTTACTCATTTATGAATACAAATGAGATGTTTTTGTTATTTTTTTAAATAAATCTTTCAAATTGATATTCATAGAAGAAAATGTAATCATGTTTTAGCCTTCAATGCTACTTTAGAAAAATTACGTTCGCAAATAATTTGATTTGCCAAGGGAAATTAAATGATACAAGTACCTCTAAAATAATAATAATGCACTCACTTCTGAGTATAACTTCAGCAATATCACATGAATATTTATTTAACAATTAAACTACACGGTTAAACATACATGTCTACCTATCGTGGCAGTCTTTTGTCGCATAAAGACTGGTTAAGTATAGAGATCAATAGACAAGCCCATCATAAGTCTGGTAACGTTGGTGCTCTAGGAACTTCTGTCATTTTTGTGAACGTAACACCCACGCAGGTGACTGTACTTTTAAAATATTGTAAAAGATACAGTTTGCCAAAAATGAACTACACTGCACCATACAGCTAAAATTAGCACAAACATATTTAGTCAAAAGAATTTACAAATTATGATGCTACTTTTAATCCACTTAATAATATAATGGATTGGATGTGTTAGATGTTACAATATTGAAATGATACAGTACTGAAAATGGTATGTTTTCCTCCGTTAGAATCAATTTGAATGGAATGACGACGGACCACATAATTTGACGACAAGCTTCCCACAAATCAATGACGTCATCAAAGACTGGCGATCACTGCTTGACGAGTATACTTCTTATGATAAAGAACCTAGGTAGAGTCTGCATTGCAAATGGTGTAGTTCAAAAAATAGCCCCAGCATGTATAAATACGCAAGCGTTATGTCCCGGAGCATATTTTGTATTGAGCGCGCTCATGTTCCGTTTAGTTTCGGACTGTCATATTGAAGTGATTTACCTGATACGACCAACATAAAACCAGGTTTGTGCAGTTTTATTTTAATAACATTTTTTCTTAAGCTAACCATGGAAATGTAGCTGCTGAAATAAATAATGGCTATATGCAACTTGCAAATGTACTAAATTCTTGCTTTCTAGACCGCTTTCGGAACAACATGTTCGCTTTGATTCTGCCTGAATTAGAATTATATTCACATTCTACCAAGATCTCTCACGAATTGATACGATGATAAGACATATATCTCGTGTTTTGAAGTCAAATACAGTACTGTTAAATTTTACTCCGTATAGTTTTAAGTGTATCTGCTGTGTTGTAGTGGTAAACTGTTTTTGAGTCAGTCATTCGCTGTGCTGATATTTGCTGTTACAATGCAAGGTCAATCTCTACCCAGAGTTATCGTCCCTTCCACTCCTTCACGTGAGTACAAATAAGTGTAAGGAACGACAACTCTGGGTAAAAACTGACATATCGTACGACCTATTTAGTTTCTGTTTACTGTATAGGCCTGCTTTCTGTTTAATTTCTAAATGTATCACCTGTTATCAATTCCATCCATTCTCTCCCAGAGTGTATTTCGATCCCGTCATAATGTAGGGAACCCTTGGATAGATTTGCACAGTACTACCGTTGTGGGCGCCCTATACATATGTACCATCTGCAAACAGTTGACTATACTATCTAATATGACAACCGCCTTTGCTGGTTAGGATGCATTTGGCTTTGATTTTGGTGAAAAAGGGCATGGATATAGATGTAAAAACCTTAAGATGACCCTCCTTAACTGCATTTGCCCCGTGACCCTCTCGCTAGTATTCGCTGTCTATCTTCAATGATACTGGATATTGTCCGATTTTCCACTCTCCAATACGGCATTTTATCTATATCGAAGGTAAAACTCATTCTTCCGGATGACGGAGATTGCCGTTTTGATGACTATTTGTTACGATACTTCATACAGTAATAAGATGGTGTGCGCGTGCTGGTCTCGTTCGAACAGTGTAGCTGATTAGTCAACAATAGACTTGTTGAAAGAGACCATGAAAATCCGTGTGCATGTTTCTTTCGATTTCCGTGTCCATTTACCATGTTGCCAGTAAATTGAATCAAGGTTAATTAGTAAAAATACATCTATGTAATTCCGTTGAAAATAAAGTGGGTTCTTACTATGTATTACATAAAGGTTCATGGCAGAGGAGTCGTATGGATTGACGGCAGAGATGCGCAACGCTCACTACAAATCCGGGGCAATGCCCTTCAACTTCGCTCTTCTTAATATGAACTCGACATGTGGAGGAACATGTGTTATGCGGTTAATCAACAAAGGTTTACATGAACTAGCGGACGACGCGTGGCCCAACTTCCAGGTAAACGCGCCATAGTGTAAGTTTCATTGAACTTTGTCAGTGTCCGAACACTTGAGTGACCGGATTCATGACGGGTTTCGATATCAATTCTGATTTACAGGATACTTTGTGAAGGATGTAACTATGGTGTTCGCGAAAGATTTACCTTTCCGGAGCATACGGTTCCGGCCCCGCTTTTTTATGGGGTCAAATAAAAAAAAATGTTTCGTTTTAATTGTGTCACATCGGTTCCTGTAGTTGCCTTTTAGTATTTCAAAGACCTTTCCGGTTTTCTCCCTTTCTGTGTTTTTGTCAGGTTGGTAACCATGACAACAGCCGAGTGGCGTCCCGAGTAGGAGTCGCTAGATCGGGAGCCGTTACCATGCTTCTACTTACACTACCAGGCACGCCTACCTCCTACTACGGCGACGAGATAGGCATGCAAGATGTGTTCTATACCTTCCAGGAAACACGGGATCCAGCGGGTATCCATTTTGGAAAAGTACGCATTGATTCAAGACAGTGATAGCAGACAGAAAGTCGACTTTCATGTCACGAAATTGGTTCTCAATGTAATGCAGACTTTCACTATCAATTCTCTTAACCATGTTTTAATTTTGTTTGACAGGACGGATATGAGGGCAGATCACGTGATCCGGAGAGGTCTCCAATGCAGTGGTCGGGGACAACGAATGCGGGGTTCTCATCAGGCACGCCATGGCTCCACGTGCATGAGAACTTCACTAAAACGAACGTCAAGGTAAGTCCAGATGAATGAAATAGCTTGGCAACAGAATACTGCCATTTTTCTGTAACTTCCGGACAGGCGCAGTAATTCTTCCTAATGTACCATTAGTTTTATTTAACTATCCCTTGCAATGGCTTTGAAATTCCTACACGGCAGTTTTACTGAACCTTGATTTCATTTTCTATCAATATCTAGGACCAGAACAGTGATACCGTATCCATGTTGAACCTGTATCGAACGCTGGCTAAAATCCGGAAGTACCCATCATTCCAGAACAGTCAACTTCAATACGCTGTAACCAACGACAATGTCGTATCTTACGTCAGAATGGCACTAGGTTGGACCAAGTATCTCGTTTTGATCAACTTTGGCCCCTCCACGAGTACCGATGATTATTCTAAGAGTCCCGTGGACTCTACTTCCGGTATAATAGTTGCAACGACAAACAATTTCAATTTGGGGGATTTTCGAACAGGACAAACTATTTCGTTGGTGAACGTGAGGTTACATCCTGGACAAGGACTGGTTGTGACTGTGTACTACCAGGGACGTTAGCCGTCTAAATCAGTGACGCTTCGTCTAAGTTACCTGTAGTGACGACTAAAAACGATTTCTTTCAATGCTATATCTCCTTTTATCAGTACAAAGGTGACAACAGCATACACAGAAAACAGAGAAATTATCGAAAGAGACTAATTATGCAATGTGTGTTTTATGCCGTTTTATAAGGTCTGTATTGCACAACGAAAAACTAAAATCTGATTTCTAACTTAAATATGTCTTCGTCTGTTACCGCTTGAATAGAAACCATCGTTTTTGGTTGTTCAATCACGCCGCTTCTCTATGCCACATATAGGTGGCGCGACTCCGGATATAGGCAGGGACGGTAACTTAGCGCCGCATAACTGCGTCTCGATTCTCCACCCAGAATAAGTTGGTATGCCTTTTCCTACAGTATCATCTCGATCCAGGATTACGTTATTTATACACATTGCACGAATGTTTCCCATTATTGTATAACAGTTCTGCTTTCTACAGTGTTTCTTACGTTATTTGCTATGATTTGTCTAGTTTATCTAGTTGGATAAATAATTAATAAATACATCGTATCATTTAATGCTTATCCCATAAATCCCTAGTATGTCATTGGCCTAATAGAAGCGATCCGGGGAGATCACTGATACAGACGGGCAATCGGCAAGTTCACGTTTACGGAAAGAGCCGACGGTTCCCGATTGACAGACGGGAAGTCTGAAATGAGCAGGTGTAAAGTTGGATTGTAGAATGCTTTTATAATTTAATAAAATTGACAACGAATATCGATGTAAGTTAAAGTTATTTTGTATTTAAGCTGCTATCACAACATTACTGCCTCTATGTGTTTTTTAAAAAGTGGGAGAAATGATAACACACCATCTGTATCATGTATATATATAGTACTGTCATATACATGTAGCTTATATAGATTGTATATAGTCTATTTTCATCTTTTTTTTCATATCATATACCATTTTCATAAGCTAGATCATACCAAACTGTAACGCGAAATCCACAAATAGTTTATATATTTTATATACTTAATAGTATATATTTAGATGATAATGCTTTGATTGATTTAATTGAAATTCAAATTTAAATTGATTTAATTTAGGGTGAAGTAAATTCATATTGGAGCATTATTTTCAGAGAATCTTTTTTACCAATAAATGCGTCTTCAATGTAATTATTAATAACTTAGTATCACTCATTTGATTATTTTCCCCTAAAACATAATCATTAGTTATGTTTCTATTTGATAACCCCATATGGCTTGGGTCCACTGATATTTCTAGTTGATAATAATGAATCTTAACACCTGACGCCGACACTCTCTTCTGTGATGGAACGTTTTACATGTGCCCGACTCAGTTCCAGCAGATCTACATCGTCCACGCCAGGATTGGAGACCAGATGTACCCACTTGTATACAGTCTACTTCCCAGCAAGACCAAAGATTCTTTACACTACTCAAGACCAAGATTCAACCTCCAACTCAATCCAACCACCGTTTTCATGGACTTTGAGGCTGCTGTCCAGAACGCCAGTGTTTCCAGCTGTGAGTTTGAAGGGCTGTTTCTTCCAATATACACATTGTATTTGGAGGAAAGTCCAGCAGACCGGACTTCGACGACTCTACGCCAACAACGACGATGTCCGACAACTTGTAAGGCGTGTCGCTGTACTACCTCTTGTTCCGTTAGACCCTGTAGAAGATGTCTGATTCAATGCGCTGGAGGACATAGACGATGCTGATGTACCACAGGACACCACCCCATTTACAGATTACGTTGTGACACAGTTGATTGACCGAGATCAACAGCTCTGGAACCACTTTGAGACCGAGTGACCCAGAACAGCCAACCACATAGAGGGATGGCACAGAAAACTGAAGAAGAAAGTGGAACACGCCCACTCCAACATCTACAGCACCATCCACGTCTTCCAGGAAATACAAGCCAGCAACGAGATAACGCGCATTCAACACGCAGCAGGAGGACAACTCAGACCAAGAGCAAAACACTACCGTTACATCGATAGCCGCCTTAACCAACTAAAGGAACGCTTGGAGAATGGTACAACAGATGTAATCCAGTACGCCGACAGAGCATCCCATCTTTTGCATTTAGAGTGACATTGTGATGAATGTGCTTGTTATGGATTTTTTATTTGGTGCTTTGCTAAGATTTCTTAAAAATTATGAACTTATCTGTTTTTTATTGACTTTCCAATATTTCATCTTTAGTAAGTTAGTGCTATTATATTAGTTTTATATCATGTATCTTTGTGCGTGTGTATTTTATGAATATGATTGATTTGATCAACCAGTGGTGAGTATTCCATGTGTACATGTAATTAATTAATTTTATTTATTTTCATTCCCAGCTTTGCATCTGCTTTTGCATATTTAATAATGTAATGCATGATCTCTATCTTTACTGATTATATTTGTCATAAATTGCTTGCTAAATTTAGTTCTATTTTATGAAATATATATATATAACATACATGTAAATGTACAGTAAAAATGTATAAAATTGATATAATATGAAATTAATAAAAGCAGGTTTTCAGTTATTGTATTTTAATGTGTTTTTATTAAGGAATAACAGGAATATTGTATGTATTTATTCATAATTCCAGTAAATATTACGAAAATCAGGAAATATATTTCTTAAATATTCCTATAACACCAAATGTGTGCTACGTGAGACGACACCGCGATATATCATTTATTTAACGCGATAGCCATTTTATATAACCGGATTGGTTAGGGTAAGCGTAAGGTCAGTCCTGTTTGACATGTTATCTCGAAGCTATGGTAAAATGATAGCTGTCAATGGTCTCAACGGTCCAGTTATAGTAACCCTAAACCAGGTATGGCACCTAGAGTACATAGCTGGACATTAGGTACAACTCTAACAGCCTTAGACATCCTAACCCTAACATATCCGGTTATTTAAACGCCTATCTCGTTTAATCAATAACCCGATATGTCCTTTATATAAAGCTATAGTCATTTTATATAACCTGATAGGTAAGGATTAGGTTAAGGTCGGCCTGTAAGATATGTTATGATAACATATCCCGCTGTATATACACATATCACGTTATGTCAATAACCGGCTAGCCAACAGGTTATAACCTCAACCTATTCAGTTTAAATGAAAACCGGTTGATATTAGTCCGGATGATATCACACCCCCTAGAAAAGTGATATCACACCACCTCCCTAATTTCCGGATATTGCCGCTTCCGCTTGATGCTGTCTAATTTTAATGTAAACAAACGAATTGTTGGCATGGAATAACTGCGGTTTCATGATTTTTTTTATCTAAAGATTGTTTTGTTTATGTACATCATTGTTTGTGTTACACCATTTTTATGAATATAAATAAAATAATGAAATATCTTTTGGTGTACGTTTTGTTTATTTCAAAGAAAAAAAACATGATAAAAAGTTTATGATATGACCATTTTGATATGACACCCCAAATCAACCCTTGAGTCCTAACATCAGCCCTCGGGCCATCGGCCCTCTGGCTGATATCAGGACTCTCGGGCTGATATGGGGTGTGATATCAAAATGGTCAAATGATAATCTCTAAATATCCCGTTGTATTTACACATATCATGTTATATTGATAACCGGCTAACCAACAGGTTAAACCTATTCAGTTTAAATGAAAACCAGTCTGGCTTTGTCATAACCATCTAGAAGAAAGGTTTAATGAAAACATATCCCGCTGTATATAGACATATCACGTTATGTTGATAACCGGCTAACCAACAGGTTATAACCTCAACCTATTCAGTTTAAATGAAAACCGGTCTGGCTTTGTTACAACCGTCTAGAAGAAAGGCTTTATTATAACATATCCCGTTCTATATAGACATATCATGTTATTTTGATAACCGGCTAGCCAACAGGTTATAATCTCAACCTATTCAGTTTAAATGAAAACCGGTTTGGCTTTGTCATAACCGTATAGAAGAAAGGTTTTATTATAACTTATTATATGTTTACTAATAATAACACCCTTTTTTATGTGTAATAAGTCTAAAATTTCCACAAGTTGATATCAGCCCGGGTTATATCACACCCCTTGGAGTGATATCACACACCCTAGAAAAGTGATATTACACCCCCTCCCATATTTCAGGATATTTCCGCTTAATGCTGTCTAATTTTAATGTAAACAAACGAATTGTTGGCATGGAATAACTGCGGTTTCATGAATAAAATATTTACAGATTGATTTACAAAGCCCCATCCAAATTTTAATAACCATATCATTTTGTAGGAATTTGGGAATTTCTAAATGTTGACTTTTTATGTATAATTGTTACTGTTTTGTATATATACATCATTGTTTGTATTACCATTTTTATGAATATAAACAAAATGAGGAAATATTCTTTTGGTGTATGTTTTGTTTATTTTAAAGAAAGAAAAAACATGATAAAAAGTTTATGATATGACCATTTTGATATGACACCCCCAATCAGCCCTTGAGTCCTAATATCAGCCCTCGGGCCATCGGCCCTCTGGCTGATATCAGGACTCTCGGGCTGATATGGGATGTGATATCAAAATGGTCATATGATAATCTCTAAATATCCCGTTGTAAATACACATACCATGTTATATTGATAACCGGCTAGCCAACCGGTTAAACCTATTCAGTTTAAATGAAAACCAGTCTGGCTTTGTCATAGCCATCTAGAAGAAAGGTTTTATTATAACATATCCCATTTTATATACACATATCATGTTATTTGATAACCGGCTAGCCAACAGGTTATAACCTGAACCTAATCAGTTTAAATAAAAACCGGTCTGGCTTTGTCATAACCGTCTAGAAGAAAGGTTTTATGAGAACATATCCCGATGTATACACACATTTCATGTCATATCGATAACCGGCTAGCCAACAGGTTATAACCTCAACCTATTCAGTTAAAATGAAAACCGGTCTGGCTTTGTCATAACCGCCCAGAAGAAAGGTTTTATTATAACATATACCATTTTATATACACATATCATGTTATTTGATAACCGGCTAGCCAACAGGTTATAACCTGAACCTATTCAGTTTAAATGAAAACCGGTCTGGCTTTGTCATAACCGTCCAGAAGAAAGGTTTTAGTATAACATATCCCGATGTATACACACATTTCATGTTATTTTGATAACCGGCTAGCCAACCGGTTAAACCTATTCAGTTTAAATGAAAACCAGTCTGGCTTTGTCATAGCCATCTAGAAGAAAGGTTTTATTATAACATATACCATTTTATATACACATATCATGTTATTTGATAACCGGCTAGCCAACAGGTTATAACCTCAACCTATTCAGTTTAAATGAAAACCGGTCTGGCTTTGTCATAACCGTCTAGAAGAAATGTTTTAGTATAACATATCCCGATGTATACACACATTTCATGTCATATCGATAACCGGCTAGCCAACAGGTTATAACCTCAACCTATTCAGTTAAAATGAAAACCGGTTTGGCTTTATCATAACCGTATAGAAGAAAGGTTTTATTATAACTTATTATATGTTTACTAATAATAACACCCTTTTTTATGTGTAATAAGTCTAAAATTTCCACAAGTTGATATCAGCCCGGGTTATATCACACCCCTTGGAGTGATATCACACACCCTAGAAAAGTGATATCACACCCCCTCCCAAATTTCAGGATATTGCCGCTTCCGCTTAATGCTGTCTAATTTTAATGTAAACAAACGAATTGTTGGCATGGAATAACTGCGATTTCATGAAAAAAATATTTACAGATTGATTTGCAAAGCCCCATCCAAATTTTAATAGCCATATCATTTGTAGGAATTT